CCATCAAACATCCACATCTGCCTATCCCAGGTCCTTGGTAAGGACTCAATAGGTAGACAAAATGCCAAATCCAGTCTGAACATCTGGCTGACTGTGCGATGATGATGATGATGATGATGATGATGATGATGATGATGATGATAATGATAATAATAATAATAATAATAATAATAATAATAATAATAATAATAATAATAATAATAATAAAAAAAAAGTTGGAAGGGACCTTGGAGGTCATCTAGTCCAACCCCCTGCTCAGGCAGGAAACCCTATACCATTTCGGACAAATGGCTGTCCAGTCTCTTCTTAAAAACTTCCAGTGTTGGAGCGTTCACCGCTTCTGGACGCAGGTTGTTCCACTGGTTAATTGTTCTAACTGTCAGGAAGTTTCTCCTTAGTTCTAGGTTGCTTCTCTCTTTGATTAGTTTCCATCTGTTGCTTCTTGTCCTGCCTTCAGGCACTTTGGAAAATAGCTTGACTCCCTCTTCTTTGTGGCAGCCCCTGAGATATGGGAACACTGCTATCATGTCCCCCCTCGTCCTTCTCTTCATTAAACTAGACATACCCAATTCCAGCAACCGTTCCTTATATGTTTTAGCCTCCAGTCCCCTAATCATCTTTGTTGCTTGGAAGGGCTTGGAATTAATGATCATTGGATTAGTTTAATTTAATCAAACATATAAAGGGAAAGTTTCTATTGAGTCAATCTTGACTCCTACTGACTAATGGACATGATTTGCAGTTTTATGTTATCAATCCAGAAGTGGCTTGCGATATTCTTCCAGGATATTTTTTCAATACCCTAGTTTAGCCCAAAGTCTTGGGATTTCCTAGTGATCTCCCAACAAAGTAATCACCAGACCTTACTCCGCTTATTTTTCAAGATCAGTGAAGGTCAGTTGGGTGCTGCCACTTACGTGGGAGGCAATGAAACGTATGCCTTTTCAAACTATAGCCAATTGCCCCAAGTCATATTGATTTAATAGACCAATAGTCTAATAATCTAATCTAATGGACCAATAGTCAACCTTGGCAACTTTAAGATGTGTGGACTTCAACTTCCAGAATTCTGGGGGTTGGAATTCACATATTTTAAAAGTTGCCAAGATTGAGAAACTCTGGTCTGACATGTCGTAGTTTCTATATTCATAAGCTGTTATTGGGTGAAAGGAACCAATATTATACAGGTAGTCCTTGATTTAAGTCAACAATTGGGACCAGAATTTTTGTTCCTAAGGAAGATGATTGTTGAGTGAGTCATGCCTGATTTTGCAATTTTTTTCCCGTGGTCGTTAAGCAAATCACTGCAGTTGTTATGTAAACCAGACATTTTTATTAAGAAAATCCAGCTTCCCCTATTGACTTTGCTTGTTGGAAACCAGAGGTAAGGTTGTAAATGGTGACCACGTAATTCCCAAGATGCTGCAACCATCGTAAATACATGCTGGTTGCCAAGCACCCAAATTTTGATCATATGACCATGGGAATGCTGTGATGGTCATAAGTGTGAGGACTAGACATAAGTCACTGTTTTCAGTGCTGATGTAACTTCGAACGGTCACTAAACAAATGGTTGACAGTCAAGAACTTGCCTGTAACTTGCTATATGCCCTGCCTGTATTGCTCATCAAATTGTGTGGTGAACGAAGTCACTGGAGTTTGTCTTGAGCATCTCCCACTCGGTTTCTTTTCCTTTCCAGTTCATCATGGAGCCAAAGTGGTCTTCTGTGCACCAGCATCAGAAGGTGAGGCATAGCAGCTCTTTCACTATCCTCGCTTTATACTGGATGATTTATGATCCTGCTCCCATCCGAGTTAATCAGAGTGACAGACTAAAAGGAAATACAGGTAGTCCTCGACTTACGACCACAATTGAGCCCCAAATTTCTGTTGTTACTTGAAAGGAATAAAGTATTATTCAGAAATTTCTAATGAAGGTCGATAGAAGAAGTCACCTGAAAGTCATAAAATCAGACAAGTAAATTACAGACAAATAAGAAAAGCAGAAGTTGCTAGCTAACTGAAATTGCAAGCAGAGGAAATATTGAAATAACTATAGGAGACGAACTGTGCTAACGATGGTGAAAGATAGGATATGGACAAACAGGCTTCCTGGAACATGGGAAGGACAGTGGTTTTAGGCCAGGGGTGTCAAACTCAATTTCATTGAGGGCCGCATCAGCATTGCGGTTGCCCTTGGGGGACCAGGTGGGTGTGGCCAGGGTGGGTGTGGCCTGGGTGGGTGTGGATGGAGTGGGTGTGACCTACTGGGTGGGCGTGGCCAGTCTATATCGTTCGCGTCAAGGGTGCCTGTGGGGGCCTGGGCAGGAGTGAGACAGATCTGAGGGTCTCTGGCAGAAGGGGGTGGGACCAGGGCAAGTGCCAAGGCATGGTCCACTGGAGGAGCCTCACTGTTCCTCTCAGGCCATGTGTCATGCCTCTGTCCGAGCCTGACTCTGAGGAAGACATGGAGTTCCCTGTTGAGGCCCAGGAGGGGGTGTCTGTGGCTTCGGAGGACTGTGGGGAGGAGCAGGCTGAGGCAGGCCAGGGCCCTTCAGGTTTGGAACAGGGAAGGCAGAGTTCAGGCGAGGAGCAAGGCCCCTCCCCACCTGATCCTAGAGCAAGGAGAGCAGAGAGGAGGAGGGAACAACGGAGGCAGGCTCACTTGCTCGGGAGGAGAGCGTCCCGCCCCACTCCACAAGGCACACCTGGGGAGTAGGATTTAAGGAGACGCTGTGGGGTGGGGCATTTGCCAGGAACAAACGTGAAATCTTGAGATAGTGTGCTCTTGTAACCTGGACACTTTGTATTCTAGACCAGTTTGCTTCCTGCTGATCTCGCCTTGCAGTCTGCAGTTTGCAGTTTCAGTTCACAGGCAAGCTGGGAGTTAAAAGGATTATACGTTTGCTTGTTATCTGTCTTGCTTTAAGAACAGTGTAAACTTCCCTGGCTGTTTTGTTTGAACTCGTGCCAGCATATGTGGGGGCTGTTGGGTGAACATTGGCAGTGATTAAAATACTATTGCTCTGGCCAGCTGATTGCTTTGCCTCCGTTCGGGGCCCTGGGTCATCACACCATGTGGGCGGGGGCTGGATGGTGGTGCAGGCTGCCCGGAGCCCTGGGCAGCAGAGGTCAAACGCCCAGCCTGGCCCTCAAGCACCCACGGCACCAAGCCCAGCCCCACTTCCCCAAGGGGGCGCCCATCTGCACTTACCTCCTCCTCAAGGCTGCTGCTGCTGTGCTTGCTCTCCTTAGCCTGATTGTTCATGATGGGTACCAGAGCAAAGTCAGAGGGAGGCCCATTCCCTCTCCATGGGAGGAGACCCAGCTTTGTATCCAAAGCTTCCTTAGCAATAGGATGGGAGACCCCCAGGATAGGCCAGGAGGAGGGGGCAAGGGGATGGTGAAAGGGCAGCAGGGCAGAACTAAGGCAGGACTTCCCTCAGACCCTCCCTCTCCTTTCCTTCTTTCCTTCCTTCCTAAGTACAGAGTGGTGGGAAAATATTTGAGATGAGGGAGGGAGAAAAACAGGCAAGAAACGCAGCTGGGGAGGTGTCACCCTTTGTGAGGAATGAAGAAATGCACCATCGCCTGGAAGAGGCCAGCACATCGCCCTCACCTACTTCACATATCTGGCTTGGTGGGCTCTGGGGGAGGGGATGCCATGAGCAGCGTGAGAGTCAACGTTACCTGCGCAATGCCGCCCAGCCTCCAGCCTGCCCGGTTTCGGCAGGCAGCGGGGCGCTCTCCTCACAGTGCCGAGAGGTTGAGCCAGGCAGTGCGAAGCTCGCCAGCTTTGCACCTTGCTGCCTGCTGAAACTAGGCAGGCTGGGGGCTAGGCAGCATTGCACTTCTCATCAGATTCATGCCACCCAGCTCAGCCTCTTGGCGCTGTGAGGAGAGTGCCCCGCTGCCTGCCGAACCCCCTCCCCCGGAGCCGGATATGTGAAGTAGGCCAGTGCCATTTGCTGGCCACTTCCAGGCGATGGTGCATTTCTTCATTCCTCACAAAGGGTGACACCTCCCCAGCATGCACCCAGGGGGTGGGGCCAACGCGGCAGGGGCTGGTTCCTCGCTGTTTCCAGACAGCCGTGTGGAGCTAAGACTGAATGCGTTTCAGCATAGATGGCCACCACAAAATTGTACATTGGCTCCCTCCAGGACGGCCTGGGCCAGGGCCAAGGCAGTGGGGGCCGTTCCCTCACTGTTTCCAGGATGGCTTCGCGGGCCACATGAAACCACTTTGCGGGCTGCATCCGGCCCCAGGACCTTGTGTTTGACATGTCTGTTTTAGGCGGTCTGGAGAGTCTATCGGATGATTAGGGAAGGGGGCGTTGAGTGCGATAGGGGAGGGGGGAATCTGCGTTGGAGGTAGGATATAAAAATGTGTCAAACAGCTCTTTAAGGTGTGGCTGAACTCCTGTGTGTGTTTCAGTCCACCAGGCCTTTGCAAACACTTCTTTTTGAATAAAACTTTGTTGCTGGAATTCCAAGTAAGTTTGTTTGTTTGTTTTGGGATCTTGAGCCATGTTCCAAACACTACTCATGAGTAGATCTTGGGGCAAGATGGAAATACCCTAATTCCTATTTTTATTTAATTATTCAAATCTGTAGTAACCATCCAATTCCAATTGACTAACCAGATATCTTTCCACTGTATTCTAAAAGCAGATTATTTTTTTAAATAATGGAAGCTACTGGGCCTCATGTTTTCAAATCCTGCTATGAAATTTTTTTCAGGGGTTGGTGGAAATCAATTTCTCAGGTGTGAGTGGCATACCTGTTAGCTTCACTTGGACCATGGCTGGAACTAGAGAGGCAGCTAAAGACTCCAGGTATAAATAATTTGGGAGAAAATGGTTATCCTTCCCTTACAGTTCCCTATGGCAGCGCTAAATCTACTTTGTATCTCTTTGCAGAGGGAAAAGGAAAAGTTCTTGAGAGGGAACTTGCAGAAGGTGGATCAGAAGAAGGCCGCTTTGTGGTCTGTGATGTCCTCAGTGAAGCAGACATGCAGGTAGGCTGGAAGTGAGAGAAGAAAAGTGGTTTAGCAGGCCCATGATATTCTTACGGTTTTCTTGAACTTCTGCATTTTCCTCATAGCTTCTCCAGTGGAACTTCTCACATTGAAGTCCAATGCTCCTGGTTCACCTTGTCAAAGCATTGCTCTCCAATCTCCCCGATGCACCAAATCCAGGGTTTCCCAACCTTGGCAATTTTAAGGAAGTGCAGACTTCAACTCCCAGAATTCCTCAGCCAGCATGGTTGGTTGGGGAATCTTGGGAGATGAAGTCCAGGCATGTTAAAGTTGCCAAGGTTGGGAAACCCTGACCAAGATTCTTCACCCTATTCTTTGTTTTGGATATAATGCTGAGTTTAAAATAGTTGAAAGGCAACCACTAGATTCACACATTGCACACTCGTCATGTGACAAATTTGGTTTTGATTTAGCATGAAATGCAAACTCAGCCAGTCAGGTTTGTAAATTGTGGCTTCTGGCTTTGTATTCTGAGCAAAGAGGCCTTATCTAACTTGTTCAACAAATAAAATAAACTTATGATTTTATGCGGTGTGGAAACCTAGCACAGGGCCAGCTCAAAGGGTCATGTGTATCTACACTATCCTGATTCTTGAGTAAATGTGCAGAACAAGTGGTAACCAGTGTCTGTAAAGTTGCAATAGCAATTCATAATCTATAGAAAACTTTGGGGACAACATTCCCCTGAATAACAGCAATGAAGGAATAGGTAAAATGCCAAAACTTTCCCCATTCTCATTGGTTGAATATGTCTACTTCATCTCTCTTTAGTCTTTACTTTGTACAAATATATGTTTGTGATCCCTACTTAGCTGCTTACATATCCACCTGCTATTATCATCTCAGATTTTCCACATGGTTCCCATCCAAATACTAATACTAAGTAGATGTATTAGTACTTAGCTTAGTTTCAGAAAGATGACTGTATCACAGGTTCACAGGCCACATCCTTGGAAAATTGCCTTAAATCTACCTTCCTCTATTACTCAGGCAGTAGCCACCAACTGTCCACATTTTTCATACTGATAACAAAAGTTTATGCTTAGACTTGGCTGTTTAAGAAGGTTGCAGCTCCTAAAGAGCCAGATAATTTGATTCTCTTCCACATAGCAATAGCAATAGCACTTCGACTTATATACTGCTTCATAGTGCTTTACAGCCCTCTCTAAGTGGTTTACAGAGTCAGCATATTGCCCCCCACAATCCCGGTTCTCATTTTACCAAACTCGGAAGGGTGGAAGGCTGAGTCAACCTTGAGCCGGTGAGGAACGAACTGCAGGCAGTGGGCAGAGTCAGCCTGCAATACTGCATTCTAACCACTGCGCCACCACAATTCCTAACATCCCTGAAATCTTTCTCTTTTTACCCTGTACCTTCTCTACAGAGGTTGGTGTCGGTGACCATAGAACAGTATGGACAACTAGATTGCCTGGTGAACAATGCTGGCGGGCGTGAGTCATTTCCAAAATGATTGGGCCTGTCTCGCTAACCATTTAAAATGTTGTTACTCATCCCACTAATCCCGACAATATTCTTATTTATGTGATGGTGGCGAATATACATCGCTCAGGTGGAGGATGAGGGTGGAGGTTCATTCTCTCAGCTTGTGGGTTGGTTTCCAAACGTTTTGTTACCAGGCTAGACAAAATCTTCAGGGGAGTTTAGGCGATGTCAGTGTCCATGTTCCTCTGTTCATGTGGTCAGTAGGTCTTGTGATGGGGAGGTCACAAGACCCATCACAAGACCCTCACCTCACCTGATGTGATCTCCCTATCACAAGACCTACTGACCACACAGAGCCCTTATAAACAAAGGAGTACTGACACTGACATCCCCTAAACTCTGCTGAAGATGTTACCTAGACTGATAACATTTGGAAACCAACCCACAAGCTCGGAGAATGAACCTCCAGCCTCATTTTTATTTATTTTGATGGTTTTGTCCATTGTTTCTGTTTGAAGCTTTTATCATACTGAGTCTCTGTAGATTTCTGTAAAGGCATCTGTTGATATACTACTACTACTACTACTACTACTACTACTACTACTACTACTACTACTACTAATAATAATAATAATAATAATAATAATGTTGGAAGGGACCTTGGAGGTCATCTAGTCCAACCCCCTGCTCAGGCAGGAAACCCTATACCATTTCAGACAAATGGCTGTCCAGTCTCTTCTTAAAAACTTCCAGTGTTGGAGCATTCACAGCTTCTGGAGGCAGGTTGTTCCACTGATTAATTGTTCTAACTGTCAGGAAGTTTCTCCTTAGTTCTAGGTGGCTTCTCTCTTTGGTTGATCTTTATGAGCAGAATACTTTCCTCAACCTGACACTCCCCTATGTGTTATACTACAATTTCCATCACCCTGTGAAAGTCTCTCCAATTTTATCTCCACAGCAACCCTGTGAGATAGATGGATAGAGAGAGAATGTAATTAACCAGTGAGCTCTAGTCAAGAGGAGACTTGATTTGGTTCTCCTAAGTCATCACTTTGAAGAAACAAGAAAGAGAACCAGCAAGGATAACATTGACTTTTATTTGACTTTTAATTGGTGTACAAACTGATCTGGGTGAGGTGTGGTCCTTGGGATGAATTTGGAATAAAAAACTTTACAGTGCTAGAAAAGCAAAATACATCCACCAGCGGGCAGGAAGGCAATCTGTATAGATCTATGCAATATCCTTTCTCTCTTTCTCTGCCAAACAGATCCCCCCGATCAAAGAATCGATGATGTGTCTGCACAAGAATTCCGCAATCTCATGGACCTCAACGTTGTCAGCTGTTTCTTAATGGCCAAGGTAGCTTTTCATATATATATTTCTACATACACAAATAGCACAACATATGCATACAAGGTGGATTTTTACCACGCTGGTATGGCCTACATCTCATTGCTTACCTTACAGTTGTAGATAAAGGATTGGTGCAGAGTTTTGGGGAGATAGCAATACAGAATTCCTGATGGGACCTTCTTTCTTCTTGCCTAGATTCTTATCTACGTTCTCCCTAGTGAGGAAATGGGCAAGTCACAGGGGCAGGAACAATCTACTTCCTTTTATGGCTGCTCTTTCCTGTGGACTGTGTGGTCATACGGACACAGTACACTTAGTCCTCGACTTAATGACCACAATTGAGACCAAAATTTCTGTTGCTAAGTGAGACAGTTGTTAAGTGACTTTTGCCCTGTTTTACAACCTTTCTTGCCACAGATGTTAAGTGAATCTGGCTTCTCCATTGACTTTGCTTGCCAGGAGGGCACAAAAGGGGATCAGATCATGATGCTTTCTTATTGTAATTCTCCATTTCTCTTCATTTTGACCTTAACAGTTTGCACTGCCCTACCTCCGGAAAACGAAAGGAAACATCATTAACATTGCGAGCATCGTTGGCCATTTTGGAGAAAGGTTAGCTGTACCATATGTGGCAACCAAGGTAATCCAGATCAAAATGTTCCGGTCTTGTAAGTCCATTTTCTCATCTAGATTGCCAAATCATAAAATCTCTGCCAGTGAAAATATTTTTTGCTCATTTCTCTGTATCAAGCTGCTCCTGAGGACTGTAGGCTCCAGTTCGAGGTATTTCTCTGATTTTGGTAATTTTGTTTAAAGCGCCAGAAGTGCTTTCCATGTTGTGATGTGGGGGAGCTTTTTTGCCTAAAGGCAAGATAAAAAAAACCTTCCAATTCCAGGAAGGTTAAATTGCCTTAGAATTTAATAACTAAATTCACTTTAAGGAATAGAGCCACTTAATTAACTGAAGGATTCTTACTTTCAGCTTATCAGCAAGTGAGTGTCAGGGTCAGGGTTTCCTGAGATTATTTGAAGATCATTAATAGTGGATGGATGGATGGATGGATATGGAGAGAGAGAGAGAGGGAGAGGGAGAGGGAGAGAGAGAGAGAGATTATCAACTTTTCTGTCAAATCCTGCCTTGGTGGAGGTTGTACTGTAGATGGAAGCTAATGATGTGAAAAGATGGCCTGATAGGCAGGAGAGAAATTGTCAAATTCCCTTTATAACTTCTCAATGCTTTCAATTTGCAGGGTGCTGTGATTGCGATGACTAAAGCTATGGCTATAGATCAGTGGTTCTCAACCTTCCTAATGCCGCGACCCTTTAATACAGTTCCTCATGTTGTGGTGACCCCCAACCATAAAATTATTTTCGTTGCTACTTCATAACTGTAATTTTGCTACTGTTATGAATCGTAATGTAAATATCTGATATGCAGGATGTATTTTCATTGTTACAAATTATACTGTTATAATTTCAGTATAATAG